GTTAAGATAACCCAGGGTTACTGTGGAATCTGAATTCAGATTTAAAAGCTTTAAAAGAAAATTCAGTAGCGCTACTTATGTATACAATTTGATGATTGGATGCCCTGAAAAGAATAAAGAAAATTGTCCGAAAAAGGCTTTGGAGCAAAGGAATAAGAAACCTAGATTAAACTTTAAACCTAAGTTTGTGCTTAGATGAGGCTTCGAACAACTGGATCCAGGTAGACAAATTCCTAGTACTCTTTATTGTGCCCAAAAATCATAAGTGCTGCAGGAGTAGTGTTTAATTTGAGCATGCAGAAAGATTTGAGGCAAGTCGCAGAGGTTTGCCTGGGATCTGGCACTAATAATGCTCATTATCAGTGCTAGACCCATTGCAGACCTGATGGCCGCAAGCATTCTTTGAGGCCTCATAATCTTTCTGCAGGTGAAGAAATGCCTATGCCAAAGCACTAAAAATGAGGGTCTGCTCACAAGCTAACAGTTCATTTCTGCTATAAAACCTCATTCCCTGCCAAACGTTGATCTTAAGGTTATAGTATGGTTTAGCTCAGATTTTTTGTTTTATTGTTAATTACAAATAATCAAACAGTAACAAAACTTTTCACTGCATTACCTTTTTGTTGATAGCAATCAAGGCCATTTCAAATGGTTTAGTAGCTGTTCTTGCTTTTTGCTGGGCTTCTTTGATCACTAACTCACAAGATTCTTGTGGAGAATGGCCCTGGTTGAAATAAAGTGCTAATTGTGATTCACTTAGCTGGGGAAAGGGAAAGATTATCCCCTTAACTCCCAAGATCTGATTCTTAACTCTCCCTATATTTATCACACATTTCCTTGTAAATTAGTACCAAGAATTTGGTGGTAGATCAAGATAAAAACTTTTAACTGATGAGGTTAGGTATTCTCATTACCTGCTTGCTGAATAATGCATTGATATTACATCGAGAAGTTACATGTTAATCACTTCTGAGTGTTTAAGGGTTAAAGAATGTAAAATTTATTATGATATGAAAAGAATGCCTAATTCGGTGAAGTTACTAATCTAGTTATAGTTACAAGTCTTAGATTTCTTGTATTCACATTCATTGTGTCAGATCACAGACTGCTTTTTACTTTTTTCAATGGTGACACTATTGGGAATCAACCTCATCATGCAAACTTGATGTGCATAATTGAATGAAGCTCATGACAGAATTTTGAAAAAATATGAGACTTCAAGGCTAAAATTAATTAACTGCAGTCATGAACAGGAGATTTCAAGACTCATTGTGAGTGGTGCAAGATTAGGAAAAGGCATTTGACATTGGTAAGATTCTGGTTTTTTGGGGGGGTAGTTCAATTCACACCCTTTGGGTACTGGAAGAGGCATCTGAGCAGAGCCAAGAGTGGGGAGTACCTGGCTCACAACCCAGAGGTCCCAAGGTCAAGTATTCCAATGATGCATTTGTAAATGACAATTCACTATATAGCCATGGGTCTCTCTTTATTCCATATAGCTCTGAAGTTGTAATCATTGATTTGCACAGTGCCACTAGCCTTAGTACTAAAAACTCTCCCTGTTGTGAATAACAAGCTAACCAATCAGGATGTTTTCTGTCAAGTAAAACAGTTCCAGGCCATATTGGTTTTGGATTACTACTTTCTTCAATTCTATATTAGAAAATACAAATCAACTTGCCTGCCTCATGAGTTGAACAACATGAAAAGCAGGACAGAATCTCATCATTTTGTCACCATCCCCAGTAGCTGCAAATCAAATTAAGACAGTTACATGTAGCAGTCTCTAATCTGCGTCTTAAATTCATTTCAAGCAATACTGCTCCATTTAATTTTGCAGGACTTATAAGCAGACTGGAAACACCTTCAAAAACCAGATCAAAAATCAGAAAGACACCATATTTAAAATCAAGCAAAAGGTGTGTCCTGACCATCTCAAAACAAACCTGCTGCTGCTCCAATCTGAAAAATAGAAAAAGAAAAGTTTGGAATATTTATCTCAACCAGCAGAAGATATGCATATTCAGATATAAGAAGCCAGCATGCACAACAAGTTGAAAATATATTCCAGTTTCATGCTACCACTTTTTTTAACTGCTACAATTTGTTACACTGTAGAATGCTCAAAATTTACTCACCTCGTTATCAGCATATAATCCTGACCCTGGGAGAGGTGAATCTCCAACCCTGCCTGGGTGTTTGAAGGAAATCCCACTTGAAGAAACACCTGTGGAAATAAAATGCACTTGAACATTTTAAAAATATCATAATAAACACTTAAAAACTGTATTTCAGATCAGCAACACTTTTTCCAGTAATTACATAATCAACTTTTCCAAAATACAGTGTACAAATAAGTTTGATATTGACTTTAAAATAATTCACATCCTACTATTTCACTGCATGTTACAAAGTTACCTGCAACAAGATGGCTCCTTGAGTCCATGACCAAAATGCCTTTCAAAGAAAAAAAATATTACTATTAACAGGCATTGATCAGCACATAGCTCAAGTTTCCACAAATTTCTTACAGATCTAACAAATATCTTCCTCACAAAAACAAACAAAATGACACAGCCACTGAATGAAAATCAACTTTTTATGTCCACTGTTACAAGGGTGAACTGTAATTTGGAGTGTTACATGATTGTAGTTTTGTAAAAAAAAAAGGGGAGGGGGAGGGGGAGAAACCAGAGAATGTGGAAAAAAACCAGTGGAGCAAGGACTAGAAACCACTAAAAAGTGGTACTAAAGCATACTACCTTGTCTAGAAATAAAACTGAATTCAAGCACTGTGAGATTTAACCAAAAGGGGGCAGGGAAAAACCTAAACAAATCAACAAAAGAAATAAAATGTGCCATTTAATCAAAAGAAGAATTTACTCAAAACCTTAATCAAAAGCTGCAACTCCTCACCTATGGTATCATGGCCTCCTTCTTCTTCACCTGACTTCTCAAGAAATTTCTACTAAGGATAGACAAATGTTGATGGTTATCATAAGTTTACAAGGATCATTATTTTCAGCACATTGGTAAGGCTTAGAATGACTAAGGAAAAACTGCTTAACACACTGTAACTCCCATGTATGATAAAGACTGAATTTCTCCTTACAATATCAATACAATATCAAGCAGGCAAGTGATAAGAACAAAGAAATTGTCAATTAGGGTTTGTATTGTATAAGTTAATCAAATAACAAATTCTCCCTTCTAACAAAAAAAATAATTACATGGCAGAATTACTAATGAGATCTTGGGAGTGACAAAGTTCAACCAGGATTTGTAGTTGCCTGTGTCAGCATAGCTTCTTCATTCTACTGAGTGACAGTTGACTGTAAATCTGCGATTCAAGGCAAAATTATTGTTTGAGAATCCTAACCCAGCTTTCCTGTGATTGTAAACTGCAGTTTACTAAATTATACAGGAGGGTTTAGCCAGCTACATCTATTTGTATTAACTTATCAACACTTGAGGAGCAGGAAAAAACAATACAAATCAACTGTTTAACCCTTTAACTCCCAAGATCTGAATGTGAATTCTCCCCTCAAGTTACATATATTTCTTCACAATTCATTTACAAGAACTTGGTGTTAAACCAAGATAAAAACCTCTACCTTACAAGTATGGGTATTAGTATTACCTGTAGGTTGGATTATGTATTGACATTGTAGGTATATACAGTCAGATAGAGGTTATATGTATCACTTCTGGGAGTTGAAGGATTAAATAATTTTTTGTTACTAGGGAAATGTCTACTGCAATACAAAATCTCCTTCCTTAACGCTTTACACCCTGACATCAGTATGTATATTCTCCACATTATTCTCTTTACATTTCTTAAGTTGCAGACATGGAGAATTTGTTTAACAATCAATAGCTTCTTTAATTGATGATCAATCCCTCAGTTCTCATGACCTTAATGTTTGATTCAGGGATGACATTGTAACGAGAAAAAAGATGCTGGTCAGTCTTTGTGGTTTAAGGGTTGAAAATTTCAAAAGTTTGGCACACCTGAAATGCTTCTCTTGACTGCTGTGTCTGTAAAGCTGAATTTGATTCCACAGGGAACCCATTATTCTGAGCAAATTCCTGTGCACCGCTTCCCACAAGCATACTATGAGGTGACTTTTCCATCACACATCTTGCAACAGAGAAAGCAGTTGCAACTCTAAAGAAAATTAATCGAAAGGTTAAGTGGAAATTAATTGTCAGTTAAACTGTCCTCAAAAATGTTTTCTTTTCCATTTCCTGACCAACCAACTTTCTTTGAAAAAAGCATAGAAATAAAAGAGAAAAAATTTCCAGATAGAATGTTTAACAAATGGAAGGCATCAGGAAACAAAACATTTAATAAAGATGGCTTTGCTGATTACAATCAATTGATATCACCTGCCAACAATCAGCGTTCCTCAACCCTTTAAAGGGACCAACACAGAATTTGACCTCACTCAATATAATAACAAGCAGGAAAGTGATGAAAGTAAAGTAATATCCAATGCCAAATTCTCCAAACTAACAACACAAGAATTGTATGGCAGACACCAAGGAGAATTACTTATGAGGTCTTGGGAGTGAATGAGTCAAAGATTGCCCGGAGGTAATTATTAAACTTTCATGTACCTATCAATGGGGAATAAGAAGCCGGAGAAAGGATGAGAAAATTGACTCTCCAAAGCCTGAAAATATCAATCACCCCTCCCCTCCCTAGGGAAAACTAGTGCTAATACCCTTGCAAAGCAGCAACTGCTCCAAAACGACACGTATCTCCATCCATGACTGCCGCATCACACTCCAAAATACCCTTAGAGTTAGGTAATCCTCCTCTCCCAACAAAATAGAGACCTGTGTCAGGATCTTCTTCAATTACTAAAAAAAAAATCCTTGTGAGCGCAACTAGATTACTACGTTAAAATAATTGATTTTTTCTGCAGCATGACAAAAAACTTGCAAAAAAATCTGCAACCAAATTACAATTGATTCCACTTTCCAGTGCATCAATACATCCGTTCCCTTCTCGTAGCTTTCTAGAGATCAATTTCACCGCTTCTAAGCTAAATGGCCAAGTGCCCACAACAACCGCCATCTTGACCGTGCATCATCTCGTAAACTGGAAACGAAACCCATCCGCTGGCCAGGAGCAGACGCGCAAGGAAAAGCTGCTTTGGAGTAAATCCGTCATGTATGGGGAATTATTATCCCCACACTTAACTTAAAATAATTCCCAATCCAAGACCCCCGAAACTGAGACCGAAGACCTTAGACACGAAATCGAACACCCGAAGCAAGCTCTGTTTTTTTCAGCACAAGAACAACTGGGGAAATTTTGAAGAGAACTAGTTTTTCGAAAATAAATTAAGAAAGCAACAAATAGGAAAAGAAAAGAAAGCGAACTCCGATTTAATGTTTGATGTAATTATCGGCAATTTCGCTTTTGTTTAACTGACGAATGATCACGTTGCGAACGGAGAGGTTGTCAACCTTTTTTTAAAACTGGCTTTTTTCCGTGAAACCATAAAGCGTGACGCAAGCTTCCTGAAGGAGTCTTCGTTTGATTTGCGAGTCTTCGTTTAATTTTCGGGTCTTCGTTTTCGGGTCTCAGTCCTTAGCTTTCGGGGTCTCCGTTTTCGCTACGACCATAATATAATATCGTAGAGAGGTTAAAGAGTTCGGAAAACCAAAACTCACCGGAACAATGGGGATCGAATTCCACCAATCGCTTACTCGCCGGGATACAAATGGTAACACGTGAACTGCCGACCCCATCGCCTGATGAAGACTAGCAGTAAGCAGTCGAAACGTCG